AGGAAGCAGGCGTCTTAAGTGGCAGCGTAACCTACTATGTCACAATACCTACCTCATCAAGGACGAATCTTACAGAAATTATGCTTAAATAACATGAAAGGGCAAATTTTGAATGATTCCATTTTTGTAAGATATCTAGAATAGTCACTGAACAGTGGTTATCAGTGTGGGGGTGAAGGGAACAAGGAGTTATTCTTTAATGTATGCAGAGTTTCTCTAAATAATGATGAAAAAGTTCAAAAACTTAACAGTGGTGATAGTTGTACAAGAATATCCTTAATGACACTGAACTATTTTTTTTTCAATCTCATAGAACATTTTATTCTCCGATTTATTGCCAATCCCACTACTCCACTACTTATCAGCCACGTGATCCTCATCTGGCCCTGCTGTCCCTGTGCTGAGAACTGACTCACCAGGCGTGAGCAGGGTGTAAGGAAGAGTAGTCAGGACTGACTGACACAGCCGAGACAAACCAGCACAAATGATGTCTCTGCATCTCAAAGGCAAAGTGAAGGTGATGCAAACAATTTTTGAAATGATTCGAGATTTGATTCAGCAGCATACATGAACCTAATGGTTAATGAATTTTAGGATGTTCCCAAATATACACATAAATTCAGTGTACAAAATACATAAGAAATAGTTAATAAGAAATTAAAGTAAGAAATAGAATAGTTAAAATGGCAGACTTGTGTATATTTTAACACAATTATAAATATTTAATGAAAGAAGAGTTGACAGGTCTCATTCAAATACTGACACAGGTAGAGAGGACCCATGTCTACCTGACAGATACAAGTGTATGGTTAAAAATGAACAAATAAAACAATCAGAACCCAGTACAATTAAACAATCAAACGATAATTCCTTGCTTTGTATGTCCCAGGTGTTAAGCAAGTAAGTTAAATCAAACTCCTTTTTTTGCTTCTTCAATTTGGAGTTTCATAAGCTATGAAGAGGGAGCTTATATAAGAAAACCTATGTTTACAGAAACAAATTTTTATACACCAAAATACAAGAAAATGATATTTAAGAGATAATTATTGGAAACTCATAGCATACCTTCTAGGAATGGATATACCTACTAGCTACAATGAAGTACCAGGTATACACAAGACTCCATGCCACTAATTAAGTATAATAGAGTATAATTCTATCCTTATTCTAAGAGGATACAATACAGTTTAGGACTACAGAGATTAAATATTAAAAAGTAAATACAAAAGAACATACACTAGAAATAAAAATGAGTGGCAGAAAAATTAAATCTTAAAGGAGCCAAGAGAAAGAAGACACTTTGATAACAAATCTAACAACTTGTCCCTGAATTTCAACAACTATCAGTTCTCTACTTATTTACTATCCTCCTCTTCCCTAGTTAGTCTACCTTCTATAAATCATTTATTAGTCTATAGTCTATATATAATCTGTATTTAATTTTTATAAGCAGGTAAAGGTTATTCACCTCACCAACTATGCACTAACATAAAATATCCATATTGCTTAATATAATTCTATAAAGCAAGTGTTCCATAAGGACCAGATGTCATAAAATGAATGTCCCCAATAAGTTAAGTGCTTGGGATTACTGCCCAGTGTATACAATAAACACAAATGATATACTACTTACTATTTAATATTTGCAATGCAAATAACTGGAGGAGGAGGGGATAGAAGAGAAACTGTATCTCATCCTTTTCTCTTATCCAAAAAGTACTGGCATGATGGACATGGCAGGAATTCAACAAATGCTTACAGCTTCTATTTCATGGTAATTATATACTTTCTAGGTGACCTGGTATATACTTTTGCGGTTTTCTGGAGAAGGAGATATATTAAGTGGAGTACAAAGTATCTGAAACTAACCAAAAATTGTTGGTTTTGATAAAATCTCAGTTCTTGGAGGACTCTTAGAGAATTTTTGTGTTTTGCTCTTGTTATTTGGAAGAGATACAAAGGGTATTAGCCCAATCTGTAGTATTAAGTAATAGTTTAACGTTTAACTCAAGTGATTTGTACTATAACCAATCACTGTAATCCAGTTTTTAAGACATATACAATTAAAAATTTTTTCAAGATTACCAAAGATAATTAAACTCAACTATAGAGGAAAAATAATGTCAAAAAATGTACAAAGAAAATATTTAGAGGAAAATAAACTTTTCTAATCACAAAAATCAACCAAAAGCCAAGTTAGTAACTTTACTTAAAAAAAGTTAAAATAATTAAGTCTAAGAAAACATTAAGGGTCTAGAAAGAGGCATCATTTGGCAACTGAAATTATAACCAATATCCCAATTTTACCTTTTTTCAAGATTTATTCCTTTGAAAGGCATTGACAGAGAGAGAGAGAAAGAGAGAGAGAGAGAGAGATTGATTGAATCTGTTAGTTCACTCCCCCTAACAGACACAACAGCTGGGGATGGACCAAGTTAAAGCCAGGAACCAGCAATTCCATCCTGGTCTCCCACATGTATTTGTTCAGAAGCATCTGGGGTATCTTCTGCTGCTTTCCCAGGCACATTAGCAGGAAGCCGATCAAAAGCAGAGTAGTCAGGACTTGAATCAGCACAATGGTGATGTTGCAACTGACAGCTTAACCTGTTATTCCACAATGCTGGTCTGCTCCCACCTCCCGATTTTGTTCTTAGAGATAGTATACACTAAGTGATTTTAATTTTGCCAAGAAAATGAGTGTAACCAATAGAAAGACTGCTATTTTATTTTAAAATTTTTACTCTAAAAAGTAAGATCTATGTAAGTAAAAGGCCTAAGATGTCATTTTTTGCAACTTATGTATAGCTGTGATTAATTGAAGAACAAAATTTTAAATGAGGAGTCAGCACTGTGGCTTAGCGGGTTAAGCCAATACCTACTGCACCTACATCACATATGAGTCCCAGTTCAAGTACCAGATACTCCTCTTCCAATTCAGCTTCCTGCTAATGTGCCAGGGAAAGCAGCATAAGATGGGCTAAGTGCTTGGGCCCCTGCACTCAAATGGAAGACTTGGATGAATTTCCTGGCTCCCAGCTTTGGCTCGGTGTGGCCCAGTCCTGGCCTTTGTGGTTATCTAGGGAGATAGCCAGTTAACGGAAGATTGATCTCTCTCTCTTTCTCTCTCTCTCTCTCTGCCCCTCTCTCCATAAATGTGACTTTTTAAATAAACAAATACATCTTAAAAGTTTTTTCCAATAAAAACCTTTGGTCTACCCTAAGATAGAATCTAATTATCCCATACAATCATCAGAAAGAGACATATCATTAAATTGTTTTCTACTGTATCTTATCATGTAATAATGAAATTCTATTATAGTAACTATTATCAAAGATTTGTTATCTGTAATGTTCTAGAACTTGAAAATAAATTATAGCAATTTTGAGTCAACTTGCAACCTGTACAGAAGCCACAGCTTATATCTATGTTGGGAAGAAAGGAGGGTGTGACTTAGTGGAAAAGAACAACTATTAATGATGAAAACAAGAAGGTGGTACAGGTATACGTGCTTAAATCCAAGAATTAAACTAAAGAAGCTTGATCAATGTGAGAAGAAGGGAGAGAAGAGAGGAGAGAGGGAGGGGAGAGAGGGAGAAAGAGATCGAGAGACTGATTGATCATTCCCTAGATCAAGCTAAGATTCTAAACAAAAACCTACTATTCATAGTTGACCTCAACTCAGGCATGTGTTTTAGGAAAGTTAAAAATACATATGATTCAAATATATTTAATATTTGTAATTTTCCTTCAATGTGAACTCCAAACACTTCAATAAATGCTCAACTGAAACATAAATCACATTTTCCAACAATGAAATGACTAGCACTTTAGGGAAAGATTTAATTTTATATTGTCTCGGTATTGTACAGTTTATCAAATTTCATTATATTGGTAATACAAGATTTTTGCCTATGCTACATTTATAACTTAATTCAATGGGCCTGCCGTCTGCAGTGCTAGCATCTCATACGGGTGCCGGTTCCAGTCCCAGCTGTTCCACTTCCGATCCAGCTCTCTGCTATGGCCTGGGAAAGCAGTAAAAGGTGGCCCAAGTCCTTGGGCCCCTGCACCCATGCGAAAGAACCGGAAGAAGCTCCAGGCTCCTGCCTTTGGATCAGCTCAACTCTGGCCCTTGTGGTCATTTGGGGAGTGAACCAGCAGATGGAAGGTCTCTGTGTCTGTCTGTCTGTCTGTCTGTCTCTCTCTCTCTGGCTTTACCTCTCTCTGTAACTCTTTCAAGTAAGTAAGTAAGTAAATAAGAACCTATTTCACTTGATTTTCACATATGTTCTCAAAATAGACATAATAGTTAACATATGCTATCTAAGTTTCTAGTTTTGTGTTTAAAGCCAATCAACAGTGGATATGTAATTTCTATTCTCTACTAAATTCAGGATTTCATGCTTTAAAAACAGTAACTTCTTCAGTATATTCTTTAAGTACAAAAAGTTACCTAAAAAATACCACTGAGTACTCAGTAAATGTTAACTTGTGATATTTTGTTATAGAATGAAGTCACTAGTGTTACTGGCTCTGTTTTCACAAAATAAAATATAAACGCATCTGAACAACTGTAAGCAGCATACAGTTATTTTTATAGATACCTGTGATACAAATGAGCAATATTTCTGTTGGGTCATGGAGAATGTATGCAACTACCCTAGGTACTTACTACCAGTTTTTAATGCTGTTTTTGCTGCTTGCTCTCATTAACAAAGTGAAGTGTTCTATTTACTTCTTATTTTAATGAAATACATTATCTGTGTAATTTGTCAATTGAAAATTCCAGCTGAAACTAAAAAGCAGAACTTCTGGCACCAAGATAGAAGCATAGGAATTTTCACTCATCATCCACTTCTGAAACAATTTTAGCAATCACACACACACACAAGAGGACCTCTGTGGGAACTTAGGAATCCAGGAGATAGTTCCTGAAACCCACTATAAAAAACATTGAAAGGAAGCATTGAAAAGGTTAAAATTAACAGTTTCACTTTACCTGTTTGATCTCTCCCCTACGATAAGACAGCCAAGTGCCAAGAGGGACATTACTCATCCTGTGAATTCTCCTAGGAGAGAAAGTCAGTAACTGGCCTCCACAGCTGTAGACAGTGCTCCCCAAGAGGCTCACTTAGTTCTCAGCTCACCTACAACATTTAGGGCATAGGCACAGATGGATAGTCTGGGGGAAGCTAGGAGCAGAAAAAACGATAAGGGTTCCCGAAAACCAGGGTGCAGAATGCAACAAAGGGTCATGGTTTCTACTAATTGCCTCCCATACTCCACCAAGAAGCCTACCGAAGAATATCTCAAGTGTACCTATCTAGTCCATCTGTGTCCCTTGGCACCCTATGCACTTCTTTAGTGCCCTGCATGTGGTCATGAAGATGGCACACACACATATTTGCAGATAGGTGACTCAATTATGTGGGACTAGGATAAGGCAATATAGCTTAAGCACTTTAAGACACAGCTCTAGGGAAAGCAGAAAGGAGGCTTTAAATACTTGAGCTTTCTTTGCAGGATTGAGAAGGAATACATACCTTAAAAACTCTCTCCTCAAAAAAGAGAAGAGAAATGGGATGGGTATATCCACAGAAAAGTTTTCAATGGTCCTCAAGAATTGCTGGCAAGACTGATTGGTGAAGATCATTTATTCTGAAGCCAGTTTTTAAAGAATAAAGGCAGTAACTTCCTTTTCTTTTTTTCTTTCTTGCAATATATTTATGGGGTCGTAAATGGGTTAAGCCACCACTTGTGATGCCAGCATTCCATATACCTTTTGGAGTTCCCCATGCTCCACTTCTGTTCCAGCTCCCCGCTAACATGCTTAGAAGAGCAGCAGACGATGGCCCAAGTCCTTGGGTCCCTATACCCATGTGGGAGTAGGAGGAGGAGGAGGAGGTGGGAGAGGAGGAGTGGGAGGAGGAGGAGGAGGAGGAGGAAGAAATGAAAACACAGGATAATCATATTAACAAAAGTCAAATACAAACTATTTTAAGCAGCAAAAGAAAAGTGATTCATTAGAAAGGAATTCTAATGAGGCTATAAGCAAGTTTCTCACCAAAAATGTTACAAGTCAAGAGAGTAGATGACAATTCAAAGAGGTCGAAGAAAAACATGCCAACCAAGAATAATCAGCAAAAGTTTCCTTCAGAAATGAAAAGGAGACAGACTTTCCACAAAAAACAATAGCTAAAGAATTGATCACCTCTAGATCTGCCTTACATGAAATGCCAAAGTGATGGAGCCAGTGTCCTGGTGTAGTGGATTAATCTGCCACCTGGGGCACTGGCATTTCATCTGTGCACCAGTTTGAGTCCCTGTCCGGCTCTCTGCTACTGCACCTGGGAAAACAGCACAAGATGGCCCAAGTGTTTGGATCCCTGCACCCACATGGGAGACCTGAAAGAACTGCCAGGCTCCAGACTTCAACCTGGCCCAGCTCGTCATGGTGGTCATTTGGAGAGTGCACCATCAGATGGAAGATCTCTCTCTGTGTCTCTCATTCTCTCTCTGTAACTCTGTCATTCTACATTTCAAACAAATAAAGTACAACTTCAAAAGAAAAAAAAGAAATGTTAAAAGTTAGTTTCAATCTGTCCTTTCATTCACCTTAAGCATTTCTTCCAAGGAAGGTGTAGTGGAAACTCTCTCTCTCAATTTTTGTTTATCTGGAAACACCTTGATCTCTCTCTCACTACTGAAAAACTATTCTGCCAGATATGAGATTCTGGGCCGACAAGTGTTATTTTGTTTTTGCTTTTCTATTAGCATAATCAATGTATCAATCCACTGCCTCCTGGCCTTGAAAGTTTGTGAGGATAAATGTATTGACAATATCAGTGAGGATCTTGGGGCCAGCATTGTGGTGCAGTGGGTTAGCTACTGCCTGTGATGCTGGCATCCAAAATCACCACTGGTATGAGTCCCATCTGTTCTACTTCTAATCCAGCTCCCTTCTACTGCACCTGGGAAAGCAGTAGAAGATGGCCCAAGCATCTGGGCCCCTGCCACTCACGTGGAAAATCTGGATGGAGTTCTGAGCTCCTGGCTTCAGCCTGGCCCAAACACAGCCATTGCTGCCATTTGGGAAGTGAACCAGCAGACTGAAACTCGCTCTCTCTCTCTCTCTCTCCCTCCCTTCCTCCCTCTCTCTCTGCCCTTCAAATAAATCCTTAAAAACAAAAACCAAACCAAACCAAAAAAAAAAAAAAAAAAACCAAAAAAACCCAAACACCTTAATGAAGATCTCTGTGAGAGCCACTTGGCTCATTCTTTCAAGGATGTCTTTGTCTTTCAAAGTTTGACTATAATGTGTCTCTGTAGGGACCTTTTAAGTTCAGCTTACATGGAGTTCACTGAGCATTCTACATTATATCCACATCTTGAAACAAGCTTAAATAAGTTTTCAGCTACTGTTTCTTGAAGTTTTTTCCTTCTGAAATTCCCACAGTGTGTGCTTTGGTCTAAGTGATACTGTACCACACATCCCTGAGGCTCGGTTTACTTTTCTTCCACTTTTTTTCCCTTGTAACCCTGAGACTTAATAACTTCCATTTTCCTGTCTTCAAATTCTTCTGATTCTTTCCCTCCTCAGGTAAGACACTGAATCTGTCTGAAGTTTTTCAACTTCAGAATTTCCCTACAGCTTTTTTTGTTAGATCTTTAATTACATTTACATTTTCACAACTTACTCTGTATCTTCCCTTAGTTTTTTGAGCATCTTTAAGATAGTTGTTTTAAAGTCTTTGTATAGATCTTCCATCTGATATATCAGAAATAAGTTTTCTATTATTTTCCTTGAAAAGCCAAAAACTGTAATCAGCCAAAATAGCTACCACCAGGAAAATAGATAAATTGCAATATATCCAATAATGTAATACTATGCAGCTAATGAAAACAATAGTAATATCATTAGTAATAAGATGATGTAACATGGCTAATCCCAAAATAGTTGTGTGAAATAAACTAGAGAAATGAGAATATAGCATATGATTCTAATTTGTATAAAATTCTATAAATGTAGTCTAATCCATAGTGAGAGAAAGTATAAAAGAAAATGCCTGGCAAAGAGAGGAAGATGATGCCTTAGTCCATTCTGTGCTTCTATAACAGAATAGTTGAGAATGGGAAATTTATAAAGAACAGAGATTTATTTTTAATAGTTCTAGAGAACATGAAATTCAAGATCCAAAGACCCGTATCTTGTGAAGGCCTTCATGCTATATCATTAGATAGCAGAAGTCAGGAAGGTCAAGAGAGAGGAAAGGGGGCTGAATCTGATCTTTTATAAAAAAACTATTTCTCTGATAATGAGTACACAGCATCCATGGCCCAATTATCCCCCAAAGGCCCGGCCTCTTGACATTTTTGCACTTACCAAGAAATAGACTCAAAAATTTGATGATAAGATTACTTAGAAGTAATCAAAAGCAAACATATGATCTATTGAAATCCATGCAGGACATGAAAGAAAATTCCTCTCATGAAATTGAAAACTTAAGTGGAATCAAAATGAAATGAAGAATTCAATAGAATAAATAAAAAATGCAAGTGAGAGCCTTAAAAACAGAATCAGTGAGGCAGAAGAGAGAATATCGGACTTTGAAGACAGAGCACAGGAAAGTATACAGTCAAACCAAAGACAAAAACAGGAAATTAGAAATCTAAAAAATACTGTTGGGAATCTACAGGATACTATTAAAAAACCCAACATTTGGGTTCTAGGAGTTCCTGAAGGCATGGAAAGAAAGGATTAGAAAGCCTATTTAGTGAGATACTAGCAGAAAACTTCCCGGGTTTGACACACAATTGGTCCAACTAACAAAAAAAAAAAAGAAAAAGAAAAAGAAAAAGGAAAGAGAAGGCCAGTGCCACGGCTCACTAGGCTAATCCTCCACCTGCAGGGCCGGCACACCGGGTTCTAGTTCCCGTCGAGGTGCCGGATTCTGTCCCGGTTGCCCCTCTTCCAGGCCAGCTCTCTGCTGTGGCCCGGGAGTGCAGTGGAGGATGGCCCAAGTACTTGGGCCCTGCACCCCATGGGAGACCAGGAGAAGCACCTGGCTCCTGGCTTCGGATTGGCGCGGTGTGCTGGCCACAGTGTGCCGGCCGTGGAGGCCATTGGAGGGTGAACCAATGGCAAAGGAAGTCCTTTCTCTCTCTCTCTCTCTCTCACTGTCCACTCTGCCTGTCCAAACAAAAAAAAAAAAAAAAAGAATTGAATGGAAGGAGTAGGAGATGGGATGCTTTGCAGGTGGGAGGGTGGTTATGGGGGGAAGAACCGCTATAATCCAAAAGTTGTACTTTCAAAATTTATATTTATTAAATAAAAGTTTTCTATAAAAAAAGAAAAATATCATTGTTACACTTAGGATTAAGTTTCCAACGTGTGGTTTGTGTCGGACACATTCAAACCAAAGGAGAAGTAGCAACAGGAAATTACTGGAGGTGATAAACATGTTCATTTTATTCACTGTGGGAGCTCCAGAAGTGTAAATATATGTCAAGCATCTTTAAATATGTGTCATAATATATATGTCATATATATATATATATAAAATATATCAAACCTGTTGAAATAAAATAAACATAAAATAAACCTTCCTTACATGGATTAGGCAATGATCCCTCAGATACAACAGATAAAAAATAAAATTAACATAAAAATTGATAAAATAAGACTTCATCAAAATTTAAATATTTAGCTCTTTGAAATATATGGATAAAGGAATACAAAGACAAGCCACAGGATGAAAATTGCAGAAAATATAAATGGTGAAGGACTTGTATCCAGATATTTTTTAAAAATCTCTAAATTTAAAATAAGAAATACACCCAATTTAAAAAATGAGCCAAAGACTTGAACAGGCAAGTTACCAAATAAGATATACAAATAGAAAATGAACTCATGAAAAAAATACTCATTAGAATTCATTAGTGATATGAAAAGTAAAACCATAATGACACATTGTCTCTATCTAATGGCTAACATTAAAAACAATGATCCCACCAAAAATTGACCAGGATATAGAAGCAATGTGACTCTTACCAACTACTAAGGGGATGCAAAATGGTACAGAGTGTTGGAAAAATATTTGGGCAGTTTATTTAAAAAGTAAAATATATACATTATACACATATACATAATTGGATATGTCTGATGTCAGATAAATAAGCAGCCAACTAGTTGGGTCTGCAAAGCCAGAAGTCACAAGATAACCACCTTACTTGTCAATCAAAAATGTCAGCTCACTCATAATGCATTTTTTACATCTGGGACCTGTGAGCAAACGAGATAAAAGGAGTAGAAGCCAGGAGAGTGCTGTCTCCATCATGGACCCTACTAAGAAATGCCACACCTATTTTATGTTTCTGCCAGGGACCTCATTTGAAGATATTATGTCTATCTTTTTAGATTTCAACTTTCTGGAACCTGAACGAAAAGTTTCCACTCTCCCAACTTCCTATTCTTGGACAGACATTTGCAATCAATGGTATTGTTTTTTTTGTTTCCCTTTTCTCCCTAGTTTATGGACAACTCATTGGCCCAAAGATGATGTGCCTTTCTCTGTGCAGGATGTGCCACACTTTTGCATGAATGTATGCTTATTCTCTATCTACAAACAATACCAGTCTCTGCTTGGTATTTCTATCTCTGTGGGAGACAGAGCCTGGATTAAGAATACAATAATTGCCCACATCATGCCCAGTCATTAAACTTCTAGAAATTTACCTACAAAAATGAAATCATGTGAACATACAAACATACAGACATCCATAGTAGTTTTATTTATGACAGACATAAACA